TCCCAACCAGAAACATCAACTTTCCTGCTCCTCTGATGCTGCCTGGCCTGCTGTGTTCCACACTATACATTTAATGTAGAGCCTTGTAATAATCTCAGGACTTAAGAGTCACTGAGTCACACAACACGGAATCAGACCCTTTGGGCCGACTCATTTGAGCAGACCAGATATCTCAATCTGATCTAGTCCCATTTGCCAGCATTTGGCCCATATCCCTCTAAACCCATCCTATTCATGTGCGCATCCAGATGCCTTTTAAATGTTGTAATTGTACCAGCCTTCACCACTTCCTCTGGCAGCTCGTTCCATACTTGCACCACCCTCTGCATGAAAAAGTTACTCCTCAGGGCCTTTTTAAAGCTTTCCCCTCTCACCTTAAACCTATAGTCAACAGTCAAAAGTTTTGCTTTTAGAGTCATAGAGTTGTACAGCATGGAAACAGACCCTTTGGTCCAACCCATCCATGCTGACCAGAGATCCTGAATAAATCTAGTCCCATTTGCCAGCATTTGGCCCATATCCCTCTAAACTCTTCCTATTCATGTACGCATCCAGATGCCTTTTAAATGTTATAATTGTACCAGCCTCCACCACCTCCTCTGGCAGCTCATTCCATTCATGCACCACCTTCTGCATGAAAAAGATGCCCCTTGGTTCCCTTTTAAATCTTTCCCGTCTCACCTTGAACCTATGCCCCTCTAGTTTTGGACTCCCCTACCCTGGGGAAAAGACCTTGGCTATTTACCCTATCCATGCTCCACATGATTTTATAAATCTCTATAAGGTCACCCCTCAGCCTCCAATGCTCCAGGGGAAAAAAAATGTCCTAGTCTATTCAGCATCTCTCTATAGCTCCCTATTTGCAGAGCTGTCACTTTAATAATGTAAAGTAATTACTGTAAAGGCCAGCACTGGTCTTGTTTTGACTAACTCCACAAGAATGAAACTGAAGGGACACAGGTGGATTATGTGTGTGGGTCCCAGAGCAGCAAAACGTGGGAGTGGGATCTGCAAAATAAGCTGGGGCACTCCTATTCTCCCTTTTCTTTGCAATTCTGGCCTGTCTCTAAATAAATTTGATTTTTTTGGGGGGTGTGGGTGGGAGTAGGAGTGGGAATGGGGGTAAGAGGCAGGGGGTAGAAAGAGAGAGAGACGACCAACCAGCTTGATCATCACGCCTCAAACAAATGAGCTGAACTGGGACATATGTCTGGTGCTCAGTTGATAGGGTTGGGGGGCATACTCTTTAGCTGCTGGTTCCCACCGCAATCAGTATGGTCCCCAGTCAATCACTTAAAAGTTAAAATCGACTCTAATGGATGCAGAGATTCATAGGCTTGTTATAGAATGGAAAATACAATGCAGTCTGTACAAGAATGTCACAGCAAACCAAGCGCCATATCTACAAATCAAAGCTTACATACTGTGTTTGAAAATTTCAAGAAAGAAAGGTACCCTATCAAAGCTCAAAAGCTTAATCGTATGTTTGCTAATCTGTGACAGTATATACACGTTCTGAATAAGAGAGAATTTTGAAATGAATCAGGTCTTGTGGTTTGGACTGAGTGTATTCATTGTTGTGCAGAAATGAAGATTTGATGCCCCTAATTGCTTTTAGATTAGGCGTCTTCTCTTTAAATACACAAATACTGTATGAACAATAGCCGATCACAGTTTGAAATGTCTGATCTGACTGATAAATATGAATACACAGGAGATCCCTAGATAAGTGCCACGGGACACAGTCTGGGAGAGAGCAGTCATATACAAAACCAACCTTCAGGTGAAAAGAATATAAACCCAGTTAGACATTTCACAATTCAGGATCGCAAGGGAACAGTCTCATCTATTCTTGGAAGTGGACATTTGGAAGGACGTTGCACACCTGATTCTGATGTTTGCCAGCGATTTCAGTATTGACAGCATTCTGTCCAGCAAGGACACCAAATGTCCTTCAGGTCAACTCCTGTGGCAGTGCTGCCCACTCCTACTCCGTTCTGCGAATGGCTTTCTGCCCAGCTGGCACAATTTTGGTTATTCTGGACTTCAGTCAGCTCAACGATCAGCACCAGCTGATGGCACCTTAGGACATGAAGACTTTTACTGTGGACGCATGGAAAAGCAATCATGCTGTTCAAATTGGGTCCACCAGCCCCCTCCGCATTACTGTCTGAGACACACAGGTAAAAACAATGTGATTTCGGACTGTGTAACACAGTAACTTAATTCTATTTTGAAAGTATTAGCTTTAGATTTTGATCTAAAGTGTTGTAACAGATTTCGTGTGTTATTATTGGAGAGGAGATAGAGGACAGATTCAATCTCATTGGTATTCCACATGGGTGGGTTAGTTTAAATTATCCCAATTTTCTTTCCAACCCGAAACCAAGATTACACAGACCTAACTGCCGCTCTCACTAAAGCAGGTTTCACCTGATACAAGACGAGACAGTGAATGTCAGCATGCTTCACAATTGGGTAGCCCTCCTGCAGTGTTAAAGCACGTTGAGGCTTAATAACTAGAAAGAGGAGCTTTAGTCTCGATCAAGGTTTTTGGAGGCAAATTACAGTGGCTGAGGTCTGCTAACTGAGGTTAGGTCAGATAGTGAACCAGGGATTTACCTGGTCTGTTCCACGCGGTACCCAATCAAGGGGATTTAAGGAGGAAGTTTGCAAGTAATGCTCAGACTGTCACAGTTCCCTTTTTTTAATTTCAAAAATATACTTTATTCATAAAAATATCTTTATATACTTAGTCACTGAAGCAGTGTGGTTCTGTACCATAGCATATGAAGAAACAAACAAATATTGGGGTTTGATTTTATCCAACCGGCAAACCCAAAGGCATTTCACAGTTCCCAGCTTCATTTACTAGTTTCAAATCAGATGTTGCTGTCCAAATTCAAACCACAGTTCATGACCCAGTCCCATTTGAACACACTTTCCAATGCTGTTTGTGTAATTTGCATCAAAGGAAATGATTTAATTGCCAGCTCCCAAATTCAAAAAATAATTGGTATTTATAAAACCCCTCTCACAATAAGTAAAACATCCAAAATAGTGCTCTGTGAAGTTAGTTGTGAAGTTCAATCAATGTTATTATATGAAAAACACAGGTAGGCTGTGTGTGCACAAGATTCCATGAACATCAAAATAGAAAATGATCAGATCTTCTGTGTTTTGGGTGCTGTTAGTTGGGGGTGGGGGGAGACACAGGGACCTCTAAGGATGCCTAACCTGAAGAAGTTACCCTCCTCCCTCCGGACAAACCTCAAGGGATCTCTCTCCCACTCCCACTCTCTCCCTATTTATTTCAAAGCCCCCTTCCCCTCCCCCTTTTCTGATGAAGGGTCTAGGCCCGAAACGTCAGCCTCTCTGCTCCTATGATGCTGCTTGGCCTGCTGTGTTCATCCAGCCCTGCACCTTGTTGTCTCGGATTCTCCAGCATCTGCAGTTCCTACGACCTCTCTGTCCTGTTCTTTGCACAGTGCTTTTAATTCTCGGCAGATAAAATCCACTGTCTAGCCACCAACTTCAATCCTTTCACTGGCCATTGCTTGAGGCTGAACTGGATTGTTTACCTGTTCTGAAAAAAAAGCCTTACGTGGCTTGATGTTAATTTTATTTGATAACAATCCTGTGAAGAGTCTTGGGACAGTTTATCAAATTAGAGGTGTTTACTTGTATAATGTCCCTGTCCAGGTCTCTCGAGTCCTGCTGCTATGCCACAGCTGGGTCTTCACTTGCTGAGCCAGGTTCAGAAGAGGAGACGGAGACACAGAACAGTCTTCACAGAGAGGCAGCTTGAGGAGTTGGAAAACCTCTTCAACAAGACCAGCTACCCAGACAGCAGCGCCAGGGAGTCCCTGGCCAGGACCACCCACCTCTCTGAAGAAACAATCAAGGTACGAAACCTCCAGTTAAAGGGTGTGTAAGCTACAGGAAACAGCAATTGTAGTCAGTGTTTAAACTGTTGGACATGGTCAAGTCAGTATTTACAACAGGCTAATTGGCTGCCTGTTTTTGACTTCAGTGACCAATTTCGACACCCCCACCCTCAGATTTCTTAAAGCAGTGATTGGGTCTCCCCTTCCATTCAAATTTAGGCATCTGACCCACTCCCTCACCTTTGATGGTTTGTATTGCCCTGAATGGGCTTTGCTTTTAAATTGATCATTTGGAAAATGCAGGTGATTTACTGGCAGTAGTTAAAAGACGAAAAAATACTATGGGTGACTTGGTGATGGGAAAGAAAACTTTCACTTGTGTGTGAGAGCACATCAGGATTTAGAAAAAATTAAAGCAGCGATTGATACAGGAAAAAAGTAAAGCTGTGACTGGGGGTTCTTGTGGTGCAGTGTGATGCCCCTACCTCTGAGCCAGGAGGCCCACATTTAAGTCCTACCTGCTCCAGAGGTGTGTAATAACATCACTAAACAGGTTGATTAGAACATGTTAAAGCAGGGTTGTTGTAGGTATTTTCTAATCAACCTGTTCAGAGATGTTCTTGTACACCTCTAGAAACCAGGGACTTGAAACCAGGCCTTCCTGACTCAGAGATAGGGACAACATTACAACAGCCCCCTCGTGACTGTGGTATACCAATATTCTAAATTCAGACAACATAAAACTTGTTGTCCATAAGAAAGGATTAACTATACAAAAGGTAAACTAAGTCAAACACAGTTTTAACACATTATAATCTGGTTAGACTAATTATCAGCCTACTATCCAATGACTTCTGTTGAACATCTACATTTGTAGATACTGAGGGAGAACATGATTGGGATCAGTTGTGGAAAAATAGACTGGAGACACTTAACATACATGAAAAATGATCATTTTTGTGGTGAATGTAAAGGATAGACATAGCAGGAGCTGAGAGCTGAACTATTACAGGTAAATAGGACAGCTAAGAGAATGGAAAAAGTATTACCTTTTTAGAGTAGTCCAAGGGCTGATAGATTCAAACTGAAAGGTTAATTTAGGGCAGACATCAGGAAACTTCTTTGTACACAAACTGGAGTCGTGGAAGAGAAAATCCTGGAATTGATTAACAATTGTTTACATCAATGGGGGAGGCACAGGGGTGTGGATCAATAGATTGTTTCTAGGTGGGTGAATTTAGATGAGCTGAATGGCCTCCTGCACCTGTTACTGTCCTGTTTCACATGAAGAGCCAGGTCATGGTTGCTCTCATCCTGCAGTCTGAACAAAACAAACAACAAATGTATCAATTCCTAAAAAGTTTGGGTTTAGAGATTAATATACTATTTTGTTATAGTCAGGATGTGAGCAAGTTTACAGTAAACTGTGAGACAATAGCTAAATGATGCGCTGAGCTGGATCTGTTGTTTGGAGATGAGGTTGAACCAATCAACTGAAGTTGCGATGTGAAGGTGCCAGTATTGGACTGGGGTGGACAAGGTCAGAAATCAGACAACACTAGGTTATAGTTCAACAGGTTTATTTGAAAACACAAGCTTTCGGAATGTTGCCCCCTTAGACTTCAGAAACGCTCCTAAAGCTTGTGATTTCAAATAAACCTGTTGGACTATAATGTGGTGTTGTCTGATTTCTGAACTAAAGTTGCTAATCCAATAAGGCAATGATGTGGGTTTTAACATTGCCTGGTCAATTTAGCTTGCAGTTTAATGACTACATTCCCCATCCTGTCCCCTGCCATTGGCCCTATTGTTCCTTTAGTTATTTTAATCAGCCTGTTCAGACATAATATTGCGCAATTCAAGGTGAGAGGACTGAAACCTGGACCACCTAGCCCAGAGATAAGATGCTACTACTGCATCAAAAGATCCTTTTTAACATCTTACTGCAAGTAAAACCATGTTTTGGAAGAACAGAGAAAGGCACCAATAAGATGCAGTTTTACAGTGGACTGATAATTAACTGCTATCTCAGTGAGAAATGATTCCTTCCCACCCTCTTCTATTCCTGTTTTCAATTCCGTGGCCTCACACCTTCCTACCTCTGCAATCTCCTCCAGCTCAGAAACACTCCTAAGATTTCTGCACTTCTCTGATTCTGGCCTCTTCAACAACCCCAGTTTGAATTGCTCTAGTGTAGAACTTAAGCCCTGGGATTCCCTCCCTAAACCTCTCTAGTTCACTTTCCTCCTTTTAAGATGTGGAGTTACCACTGTTGGACTAGGGTGGACAAGGTCAGAAGTCACACAGAAGGGACAGTGATACGAAAGTTTGTGATTTCAAATAAACCTGTTGGGCTATAACCTGGCGTTGTGTGACTTCTGACCTTTTAAGATAGCATTAAATCCTAACAGCATTTTCAGTTGTCTGCTGTAATCTTGCAAAATGTGGTCCTTGTGAAGCTCTGTGAGATGCTTTATTGTGTTAAAGACACCCTTCACAAGTACAAATGGTTACTGTGTCCTTATCCGTAACTCTCATCATATTTACACAGGTCTGGTTCAAAAACCGTCGGGCGAAGATGAGGAAAGAAAAGATGTCTCTCTTGGAGCGGTTGGACAGTTCAAGTGAGTGCAACGGCACAGAGACAGTAGACAAATGCCCTAAACAGTTACTGCACATCGACATCAATTCATGACAGCTGAGCACAGAGGGACTACTACTATACGCATGCAGAAATACCACTGTATTCTCAACCTGATGCAGACTTCTTCACACCTTAGGGATGCAAAATGTAAAAAAAAAGACATTTGTATACAATCTATAAATGACGGTGAGCATTCAGCAGAACCATCTCTTGCCTTTACCATCTACCTCTGAATAACTCCCAATTTTGTCTGAAAGTAGCTTTGCACCAATGTGAAACTGCCCTATTGTTCTACTTTCATAGTTTAATTTTAAGTAGTCTTACCTATTTTGTACCATTAATTCACATCTGTATTGAAAACCCCACCTTAATCACCTCATTTAAGGCTCAAACTCTCCTTTGAGGGCAGATTCAGTTGAATTGTGTAACAAATATTATTTTATTGCAAAAATTTTTTTAAAAATAATTTTGGAGAATAATGGATTAGTCTCCTTGAATCTAGAGAGTGAGTAAAGCTATAAACTGTAGGAGAAAACCCAAGATCTTTCTAATCTCCGCTAACTAATCAAATGGTGTCTTAAATTCTGGTCCTGGAAGTCATTACTGTATATTTACATGTGAATATTTAATTTTATTGTCTTTGTTTGGCCAGTGTCCAATACTTGAGACTCTCTTTGTCACTACACTACTGTTTTATCAATTGTTATGATCCCCAGAAATTTTCTGTTAATGGTCCTCTCAGTGAAATATTTTTTAGTGTCACAGTGGCTGTTTGTCCACCTCCTTGTATTGAAGGCGAGTGATTTGGCCTGTGGTGATCAGCCTTTGCAAAGACCAGGGGAGTGCTGAAAGCACCCTATAATTCTTCACAGCTCTAGTAGATTCTGAAAAGATTCTACTCTTTATATAAACTTTTCTGTAGAGCACCATGGGAGTTGGAATCAGTTTGTGATCCATGCATTTTGGTACATGACATTGCAATGATAAGTTCTGAGGCTTCAATTTCATTAAAACATCTGCTTTATTTTGCAGCTGATTGTACAATCTCAAAAATCCTGTACAGACTGATAGATAATACAATTCCAGAACAGAAATGGGAAACGTAGTTTTTAACATATTTCTACAGGAAAACTCTTCAAGTGATATAATGTGTACAGAGGCAGGAATATCTTGAATTTGTTCCTTCTTTACATTTTCATGAACATCAGTGAATTTTGTCTTGATTAAAAGTAGAAATTGTTTGAGAAATCCAGCATGTCTGGCAGCATCTGTAGAAAGAAAGCGGAGTTAACATTTTGAGTCCAGTGTTCTGAAGAAAGGAACTGGACTCAATGTTAACTGCTTTCTCTCTAGAGATGTTGCCACACCTGCTGAGTTTCTCCAGCAATTTCTGTTTTGTTTCAGATTTTCAACATCTACAGTTCTTTGTTTTATTTTGTCTTGAATAGTTCATGCACTTTTTCTTCTCCTTCTACTGCTGTTTCTTTCTTTCCCTGCTGAAGGCATCATCTATGACTTCTCCCTCTAGTACTCACCCAAGTGACAAGCATAGCAGATCACATTCTTAGCTTACCTGATTTCAGGAGCCGTAATGTTCTCTGCTGCTCCTACTACCAAACTTCCACAACTAAAATGTAAGAATAACGGATAGAAAGAGAGGTTAATTTTCCCCTGGCGCCACAAGAACTAACAATTGGGGCTCTAAAATTACCTTGAGATCAGAAAACTTTACAAACCCCACACAGCATCTACGGCCATTAGGAAGAATACACACTACCGAGGCAAGAACCCATTTCTTCCCTCTGTAAACTCCTGGAAGAGGAAGAACCAAATAAAAAATAATAAATGGCCAATTTGGGAAAAACAAATTCTAGTGAATTCTTTCTTCCCAAGAACACACAGCTCCAGAAGAGAGCAGGCATCACTACTGGCCACACACACCTTATGCAACACCAGATGTCCTTCCAATCGCAGCTTTCAAAGCAAATCCAATTACGTTAATGACTTAATGGTGGTGGTTGGACAGTAGGAGGGAGTTGATTATCCTGACTCCTGGCATCTCAACTTCCTCTTTCCTTCTTTTATATTGACAGATTTCCCCTTCTTATCCAACTCAAATAACCCACCCCCATTAGCAAAATGTACTCCCTTCATCACCTCAACCACACGAAATCCATGGAGATGAATTTCATCTTGGGCAACAGCTAGTTAACTGCTAATTCACACTCGAGCCTGTTTAAACCCACCCCACTTACACAGCTCTGTATTTATGGTCTTCTATTTTGTTTCCCGTCAACTTCAAGCCAAGGATGTTGGACAGACTGTAAAGGGAGACTGAATTACTATCATCCACACTGCACTGTGTCACAGAGGGGGAATGGCCAAACCCCTCTAATAATTACTCCTGAAACACCCAGAGAAGCTCACCTTTCCTCTCGTAATTTTTCAAAAGAGTGGCTATAAGAAAGAAAATCCCTGATCTCAACTTTACAAGTAACAAGAAACAATTTATTTACTTAACCCTAACAACAAACAAATTAACAGGATTGCTAACAAACCGACAATTCCCCCCAGACTACTAACTACTCCCTAACTGGTCTAAATTCTACTGGAATGCTGTTCAAATAAACACAGGTCCCACTTATATAAACCCAATTAATTAGACAACAATAAATTTAAATTTAATCTCTCCAAGTTCACACAATGTTTCTTCTGTTGATCTCGAGTCACAAATGTCTTTCTGCCGCTGATTCTGCTGTCAGGGATGTTTTCTTCCTTAATTTCTTCAGTGAAGACTTTGAGCTAAAATACTGTGGTACCTTTTTAGAGAGCTTAATTTTTTTTGTGAAAGCCAGGTTTTAATCTCAGATGGTGGACTTATCTTCGCTGCAGCTGAAGTTTGGCTCTCCCCTCGGATGGCAATTGGCTCTCTCCGATTTTCCAAATGCCGTCAGCTTTATATAACCCCCGATGACCCATCGATTTCTAAAAAAATGATTGGTTTCAGGTTGTCAACACCATCAGATTTAAATTCAATTAGCTTTTGGTATCTAGGTGCTTGTTTTAAATTCAAACTTGTCTTCAAAACATCAAAACAAGCCTGAGGGTTTCTATTCACACAGCTAATGGATACATGTTGCAATTTTAGAACTGTCTGTACTATTTCCCAGCTGCTTACAGACACCTTCTGTTTAACTCTAAACTTAAAAACATTTTATCTCTTAAAATAACCACACATTTTAGCTTCCTGCCCTCCAATTCACAAATACTCTACCCAACTTCGTAACAACTGCCACCTAAAGAAATTTTACTCCCATGTTTTTCTAATGGAAAATAACCCAATAATTCTGGGGACACATTCTGAACATGGATATTAATATCACCCTACCCTTTGAAGGGACCATATATACTAATAGTTTTCTCAATGCCTTAACTTCGTTCCTAAATATCTTCATATCTCTCTATTCTTTCAAGATATTCCTTACAATCACTGTCTTTGATCAATCTTTTTAGTCATCTATCATAATAACTCTTTTTGTCGTTGTGTCAAATTTTGTTTGACGATATTCCTATGAAGCACCTTGGGAAATTATATCACATTAAAAATGCTACACAAGTGAAAGTTATTGTTAGTTTACTATCTTACAGGTTTTGCCATTCATCTCGAAGACCCATCTGATTTCTCCACAGTATCTTTGTAAAGTCAGTCTTTAACATTTCGCATATCTTCACTCTTGACCACCCCATCGCTACCTTACCCCTCCATCTCATCCAACCAGGTGTCCTTCTGCTGCCTCTGGAAAATAACCTTGTATGGTTCACAAATACCTGGAATTACTGTCACCTAAATGTATTTCGACAGAGTGTCCGCTCTAGGAGCTTGTGTATTAACTACATCAAAAGTTTTCAAAAGAGCTTGAGTCGCAAAACGAGCAGAAGAAAGCAGCAAATGCAAAATGTAAGCCCAAAGTATATTTCCACTCATGGCATTTAAGTCAGGAGGCTTCAGGATAGAAGACGAGCCTGGTGGAAAAGATTCAAACTGATTTAAATAACAAGCTCTTTACTGGAGTTATTGATAATTATTGTGAATGTATGCATCATCCCAAGCAATGATGTTCCATCAAAGCATTGGAAAGGATTTCAAGGATCTAAAGTACAGGCCCTCTGTAACGGTGGTGAGGAATTGGCATCTTGAATTACAAAATGACACCATGGCCATTCATGGTAAAATGCACATAGAAATATGTTTATTTAAGCAACATCATAAATACATGCCCGGAGCAACAGATCATTCAGAAATACTTGGTCTCCACAGAAAGAGAATATGCATCAGTTAAGCAGGAACATGCAGTAACTCACAGGTCTGCAGACTTGAAGTTAATACAATAGAAGCAGAAAAACTCCAAGAAATAATAACGAGCAATGAAACAAAAAAGGGAAAACTTTGCTCTTTCGGTCCGCAAGAACAGCCACCCTTACCTGCCTTCAAATGCCCATCTGGTTTGCATGGGCATCTTAACACTTTACATACAGAAACTGCAAGAACACCGTTCAGAGAGAGAATTGTAAAGCGTACATCCCACAGAGCAGGGTAGTGGCTACTTTCTCACTTGGTGATTCACCAAGTTACACCAGTCTGCACGCTCACAGGTTTGATTCCCAGCCTTGTATCCAGGAAGCTGATCTCAGCCAGGCCAATGTTTAACCTGTTATAATTAGCTTCAGTGTCCCCTTGCAATGAGAAACAGAGTGGATAAAACATGATCAGTAGCCACCGACTCCATCTGAAAATGTGCTTATATGAGCATTAGTCAGAGGTCTCATGGATAACTGGGATCTATCCCCTGAACCCCAGGTGGAGTAACTGGAGTAATTCACTGACTAGCTCCCATATGAAGAATGCTGTTTTGAGGAAGGTATATAAGAGAAGAGCTCAGAAACATAGAATCTTACTGCACAGAAGATCATTCACATTTGTGCTAGCACTTTGAAAGATGTATCTAATTAATCGCACTCCTCCTTGAATTTTCTTTCCCTCCATAGCCCTGAAAACATTCCCTTTCAGGTAAAAGTCAGTGACTACTGTGCCTGGCCCTAGTAAGTAAATGACAACCCGCTGTCTGGTCATTTTAAAGTCTCCAGTGAACTAGAAGGCAATGGACTGGCTGACTGACATGCTGCCAATTTATAGCCATTTCTTGCTAACATGGCAAAGATTTACATTTTTGCCAAGACTGGAACAGCATTACATCAGGAAACACCTCTTGGAAACACCACTCCTGCGAGTTCTTAACAAGCTCATCCTAAAGTTGGGTAACCAGAAATTCTGATGTGAACTTCAAAAACGCAGCTCAGATAATGTGAGCACGTCACATTTGTAAGGAAAAGAACATTCAGAATGGGGTCAGTTTTCTGAAAACTTGACAGGATTGGAGACAGCAAAGTTGGGTATAGTGAGAGATAGATTGGGATTTATAACAGCCGGATAGGGACAGACGTGTAGACAAGGGATAGGTAATGGGCTGGTATTGGGGGATAGCAAGACTGGGGAAAAGATGTGATACAGAACAATTTGGATTTATATAAGTATCTTCAAATTATGCAACACAATGGTGAGGACAAAATTAGCTTTTATTAAAATAGACAAGCAACTGAATTTGTTAGTGATATTTCCAAACAACTCATTTAAAATTGTCTGATCTAAAAATGTTCAAACACTTTTGACCCTGCTAATGAGCTCTGCTATAATCATATGCAGCAAAACCTAGTCAAGATCCAGGCTTGGGGTGACAAGTGACATTCATGCGAGGTAAGGGTCAGGCAATATCTATCTCCAACAAGTGAGAATTATTCCCCTTGATAGTTAATGGCATTACCATTGTCAAATCCCCCACCATCAACATTCTGGGGTTTACTACTGACCAGAAACTGAATACTGTGGCCACAAGAGCAGGTCAGATATGGAGAATTCTAACCTCCTGACTCCCTATAGTCTATTTACCATCTACAAGACACAAGCCTGAATACTCTCTACTTGCCAGAATGAGTAAATGTCCAAAACAATCAAAAACTCTACATAATCCAACACAAAGGAGCCCATTTGTGAACCACCTACAAGATGTATTGCACTAATTCAGTAAGCTCCTTTACAGCACCATCTAAACCTGTGACCTATACCACCTAGAAGAACATGGGCAGTAGATGCATAAGGACACCATCCCCTGCAAGTTCCCCTCCAAGTCGCACACCATACTGACTTGGGAATATACTGCTGTTCCTTCAATTGGTCTCAGGTCAAAACTCAAACTCCATTCCTAACAGCCTACCAACAGCACAGTGACTGCAGCAGTTCAAGGTAGCAGCTCACCACCACCTTCTCAAGGGCAATTAGGAATGGACAACAAATGAATTAATAATGCCTACATCATTTTTTGGGTTGTGTCAACTCTGTATAGAGCACTTTCTCTACTTGTTACAGGGAAATCAGTTGTTGCTGCAATATGTGACCAGTCAGACACTTGCAAGAACTTGGATTATGCATTCTCACTTCCAACCCTACTATTGGTGACCATGCCTTTAGTTATCTGGACCATAAGCTCTGGAATTCTGTTTCTAAACTCACTCTCTCCTCCCTTAAGATGTTCTTTAAAATTGACATCTTTGACTAAGGATGTTAGAATTCTCCTTTTTGTAGCTCGATATCAAATTTTAAATGCTGATATTCTGATGAAATGCTTTTGGATATTTTTCATCCTTAAAGGGGCTACGTAAATGCAGATTGGTGTTATTTTGTGTTAAATGTGTATGAACAAAATAATTCTGATTGTATTTTAATACTCCATAATCCACTAATACGATTACATGAGCTTACACAAGATTTTCTCTCGGCTGAATCAATTTTATAAGTTTCATAAAGACAGAGTGAAAAGTTAATTAATTAACCAACAATTCACTGATGGCACCCGTTGCAACATAGATTAGTCAGGAATGCTACTAGACTCCCCCTGGTGGATAAAGATGAGCAATGCAACATCGAGGCTGATAGTAGGAAACTTGTGGTGTTTTGAGTTAAGCAATTTGCGACTCGACAAAGATTAGAAACTTGCACTAAACCTGTTTCTTTTGCTTGTAAGCGGTGAACATGGGAACTGTGGCAGAATCTGGTCTTGCTGCAGTGCCTCCCTTAACCAAACAGCCTTCCAGCTCATTGCCTAGCTTTTTATGAGAAAAGTGGTTGGAGGGGTGTGTCTGAATTGAGGAAACAGGGGACGACATTTTTATCAGAGATTGCAAGAACTGCAGATGCTGGAATCAGAGATAACACAGCCTGCCTGGCCTGCTGCATTCCTCCAACTCCACACAACACTTTTATAATGCTCCAAAGTGTTTTATAGCCAATGTAAGTGTAGGTATGAACGTAGAGGAACAGCCAATTAGCACACAGCAAGCTCTACAATGACACCAAGATAAATGATAAAATCAGTATTAATGATTTAGCTGAGGTAATATCAGTAATAATTATAAAATTACATTTCAAATTATTATTAAGGGGCAATGTCAGGTGTGAAAGTACATAGCTGGAATAATTAACCAGACAACAATGATCCCTTAATGCACAGCCACATATGAACACAATTTCTTTTAATATGGTTTGACTTCACTGAAGGGAACTTCCAGTGATTAGACGCATAGCAGCACAGGAGGAGGAGTTGGCTATTCGCCCCTTTGAGCCTATCCACTCATTCAATAAACAAAAGGCTGATCTTCCATCTCAACTTCATACTCCTGCTCTCTACCCATACTCCTTGATGCGTTTAGTGTCTAGAAATCTATTTCTTTGTTTAATGTACAGTAGTCAGTGATTTAGCCTCCACCACCTTTTATGCTGGAGAATTCCACAGATTCACCACTCGTTTTCAGTCCTGAATTGACCTACTCTACATCTCAAAAATGTAACCCTTGCTCTAACCCTTCCACCCACG